ATTATTATTATTATTATAATCCTGTGCGCCTTATAATCCAAAAAATATGGTAATCTGACACAACCCCAACACAAGCAATAGGTGGTGGGTTAATAATCATACCTGAGATATCAGCGTGTCGCATGCTGAAGCCAAACCAGAGCCAATAGAAATGCCTGTCACATTAATGACCTGAGGACATAACAGAACATTTTGTTCATTAAAAGGTGGTAAACTGGTCCAACTGGACACTCTGGCTGCCAGAACATTACTGGACTTACTGCTATGGACAAAGCTACTCCTGCCAGCTCCGTCTTCCCCAGATGGCCACAGAAAACGGTGCTGACGAAACTCACAGCAAAACTCATGAGCTGGGCCATAAACTGAAAGTCACATGAATGAAAGTTGAGACAACTAAAGTCAAATCCATTTATGATTATTACAAAAGGAGTTGTCTCTAAGGTCCATTTGCTCAGAGTATTTATCTCTTACCACAGGTCCTGCCAGTTTAGACAGCTCTTTGATTTCTCCTTTGAAACCCACAGGAAACAACGCGCGGATCCGCCTCGCTCTGAAGCATTCGCCCCACGAAGAAAAAAAGGATCTCTGTGCTTCCCCCTCCATGGCTCCGATCAGAGTCTCACTCTGTGCCTCCACCAGGGATTAATAATTCAGTCTCACCTCTCAGGTTCACGTTGAAGGGTTTCTCATGGCGCAGCTTTTAAAAAGTTCATTTCGTGTGGTCCAGAGGTGGGGAAAGTGTCGCCAGGACACAAGTGGAGCCAAACAGGACCTGGAAAACCTCTGATGACGGACTGTGATTCATCAGCAGATTTTATGGCCCAGTTACACATGATCTACAGAACACCCAGCGTGTGAAAGGTGCAGCTGATTAAATCTGATGTAACCTGCTGTCATATGAGCCCAGAGCAAGTCTTCAATCTTTAAACACATTTACTTGATTTTGTAGGAACATCTTAGGGTATCAAACAACTGCATTTAATATTGCCCAACAGAAGATTTTTTAATTTTTTTACCTGGTTGTGTCTTTAGTTCCAACTAAAGCAGCCATATTTAAATGGGCCTAAATGACAAGAGTGACAGGTTGGAAGGTTCTTGTTGTGTCATCTGGACAGAGAAAAAGATGAACATGAGAGGATTCCAGTACCTGTTCTGCCTTTCTCTGTCACAAACCTGTTTCTCTGCAGCTCATGAGTGACAGGTGTGCCTCATCAACCCTGCTGCTGCTGGCCTGAAGAGCATGGGACTGCATAAAAGCTGAAGCCTCTCCACATACGCTGCAGCATCAGTTCAGTGCATTCAGCTCATTTCATGAGCTAAAGACTTTTTAACTAGCTCAGGATTTTTGTTTTGTCCAGCCACCTCTTGTGATAGCCAACCATTGCTGACCCGCCTGGACCAAGAATCCTCTAATCTCCTCATGTGAGCCTGAAACTACAACACAGTACGAGCCGTTACCCTCTGACACCAGATTTATCTCCATGACAATCGCATCTCACCGCATCTTCTCCTTTACTGTTCTTCTTGAGCCCTTCACTCTCACTTATCTGTAAATAAAAGCATTTGCCTTTTTATCCCAACTCTGTGAGTCTCTTCGGTTCTCGGAAGTTCAAACTCTGTTGCAAAAAGCTTGAGTGATGGATAAGGAAACCTGGTGTGTGGGATAATGAAGTGCAGGAAGCTGGTGTGAAGTGAGGGAGAGGTCTGAAGAGATCAGCTGTGTGGTTTGGAGACATGGACAAAAAAGACAAGATGGAACTGGAAGTGGCAGAGATGAAGATGCTGAAGTTCTCCTTAGGAGTGACAAGGATGGAGACAATTAGGAATGAGATCGTCAGAGGCACAGCACAGGTTGGACAACTGCTGGTTTCCTCCCACAGACCAAAAACATACATGTTAGGCTGATTGGTAACTCCAAACTGTGAGTGAGAGAGTGGATGGTTGTCTTGTTTGTCTCTGTGTCCCTGTGATGGACTGGGGACCTGTCCAGGGTGTCCCCCACCTCTTGTACAGTGACTGCTGGATATGTGCACCAGTGACCCCCATGTGACTCACGAAGGAAAAAGAGGGTAAAGATGGATGGTTTGGAGATATGAGGTCTTCATTAAAATTAGTGTGACATAGGCCTAAAGATCAATTTACAATGTCAGAAGACGTAATTTATTAGGCTTACATCTTTATTATTATTATTTATATATTTATTTATTTAGGGAGTGGGAGTTCTGCATTGCAATGCTTTTCTTGTATGTCTTGAACACATAGACCAGTGGTGCAGTTCTGAAACAGGCCAGCTGTGATTTCTGCAGATGCTGTTTATGACCAGCAGAGGGAGACATTTCACTTTAACCTGACTACTCCCCTCGACCAAGAGAGTACTTTTTTTTTTTTTTAGCAGTTATTTAAAACTTTATGGTTTGTAGACATTGCAATCAAACAACGAGTATTCATTGGCCATGAACTCTTTTTAAACATGTGAATTTTGTGAACTTTTGTCAAAGGTTCCCATAATTTCCATAAATATTATATAGACTATAATAAATAGCTAAAAAAAAAAAAAACTTGACCATAATTGGTTAAGTATAAAGTCATTACCTGTTTGAACATTAATTTGTTGCTTGCTGACTTCATGGGTAACTATTTATAAAACATTTAATATAATCATTAGTTAGTTAAGGGAATGTGATGAGAAGTTATTTTGTAAATTATCCACAACTCTCATTGTAAATTTTAGCACCCAATTATAGACACTTTAGTTTGAGTGCGTTTAAATAAAAAAAAAATTAAAAAAAAGTGTGTGTGTGTGTGTGTGTGGGGGGGGGGCTATTTAAAAAGACTTATAAATAAATTCAAACCTAGTCATATTTCTTGAGTGAATGTGTTGGGTTCCAGGAGAGTCAGATGTTGAGTGCTGTCTTCGAACATTCAGTTAAGTGAATCTGTACAAGAAAGAAAACTGTAAATCTGTGAATAATAATGTTGTTTGTGTTTTGTTACCATTTATTTTCTCCTTGGATTTATTGTGCAGGTAAAAAGAAATAGCTCTCTAATGTTTTATATGCAAATCCAGGCAAATTTGTTTTTTAAAAAAAGGACAAATTAAATATTTTTGAAAGCACAGATGTGTGAATTTGCTTTTTACAAATAAGTTTATGGCTCTATCCTATTACATTAATATTTCTGTTAGAAATGACTTTTTTTCATAAAAACAGGAAATAATGGTGATGAATGCATCTTTTGTTTAAAACACTAATATTTGTACATTGTTACTAAACTTTTGCTGTTTAACCTCAAAGTTCACCATAAAATTAACTTTTAACGCAGTCATTTTTTTAAACAAGTCACGGCTCAATGATGAAACATTTAACTCTGGTTTGATCTTTGTGGACAATCACACACAAGAAGCACAGACTTTATTGTGCTGATCTTGAAATGCAACAATGTTAAACATGTTTTTTCCACTGGCTTCATGCCTACAAAGGAACATCAGTATTAGACTGAAAACCAGTGGATGGAGTTTTTTTTTTATATAGTATATTTACTTTGTTTAGTCATGAAAGAGGAAATAAGACAGGCTACTCTGAATAAGCAAACTGTAAATGTTAATTTGAGGCTTCAGTTTCAATAAAAACAGTCCAAGGAGAGCGTAGCAGAACAGAGCACAATAATAGGTTTGCAGAGCCTCAACCACTCATTACACACAAAATGACTTATTTCTGAATGAAATTGTGCAAAGAGCTGAAGTCATACAGTTCCATGAATCATGCTTTGCTGTCTTTTTTAACACATGGGTGGTATTGGCAGAAGAAGTGAAGGGAACCCTTTATATGATGCCCTCTGAGTGCATTTTCTGGACATAGTTGTATTTTATTTTTCAAAAGTTATTGTAATTGCCAGATATTATGCAGACCCTGCATATTTTTTTAGAAAACATCTTTATTGTTATGGCAGTTGATTAGACTATATATATACTACATATATGTTTTTTTTGTTTGTTTTTTTGTGGAGTTAAAACAAAGGGAGCTGTTCTTGGAGACCATAATTTGGACAAGCTTTGTTTTTCTTTAAAAGTCCTCAGATTTAGAATAGTTTCTTTTTTCCATTC